AACTTTAATTAAATTCATTATGAACATTACTTTTTGATTATTATCCTTAAACATTATCCTCTCGTATATAACACTTATCTACAATGTTTAAGGTTACATAAATAATTATGGAATTTTCATTGATATTCATAAATATATGTACATAAATAATGAATAAACTCTTTTATTAAATAAATAATAAATATCCTATTACATCTCGTGCTTCTAGGACATTATTCCCAACAGAGGGAGCACCTTACTCAAGAGTGGTCAACAAGGCGGTGAGGAGAGTGTTCTTTTTTACTTGAAGATGAGTGACGAAGGGACATCGAGGGAGGATAATAAGGTAGAATGGGAGGAATGGGAGAAACTCTTCCCGGCGGTCTTTGCAAACACAGTGGGAGTACCTCCCGTGAGGCCACATGACCATAGAATTGTGCTGGAGGCCGGTAGTAAACCGGTGTACATGCGACCCTACCGATATCCTTATTTCCAAAAACAGGAAATCGAGAGGATGGTAACCGACATGTTGGCTCAAGGACTGATCCAGCCAAGCCGTAGCGCATATTCATCCCCGGTGCTGCTGGTAAGAAAGCATGATGGGACATGGCGATTCTGCATTGACTATAGGGGATTGAATAAGGTGACAGTGAAGGACAAATTTCCAATTCCTATCATCGAGGAATTGTTGGACGAGCTCCACGGGGCGAGGTTCTTCACAAAGCTAGACTTGCGATCCGGGTATCACCAAATCCGGATGCACAAGGATGACATTGAAAAAATGGCTTTCCGAACCCATCACAGACACTATGAGTTCATGGTGATGCCATTTGACCTCACCAATGCACCCTCGACATTTCAGAATTTGATGAACGACATCTTCAAGGGTCAGCTGCACAAGTCCGTTCTCATATTCTTTGACGATATCCTAGTTTACAACCCGACGTGGGAGGACCATTGGGAGCATGTCCGCCAGACACTAGGAATTTTGCAGCAGCACTCCTTGGTTGTGAAGAAGGAAAAATGCAGTTTTGGGAGGCGGAAAGTGCGGTACTTGGGGCATGTAATCAATGAGAATGGGGTAGGGATGGATGAGGACAAGATCAAAGCTGTGGTGAATTAGCCTCTGCCAACGACACTGAAGGCCTTAAGGGGATTTCTGGGGCTGTCGGGGTATTACAGAAGATTTGTCGCCTATTATGGGGTCATTGCTAGACCATTGACAGACCTGTTAAAGAAAAATAGCTTCAGCTAGACCATGGAGGCGTCTCAGGCATTTGAAAACCTCAAGGCAGCTCTAACTAAGGCTCCCCTACTGGCTTTGCCAGATTTCTCTCAGTCTTTTATAGTCGAGTGTGATGCATCCAAATCAGGCTTGGGGGCTGTGCTGATGCAAGCGAATAAGCCGATCGCATATTTTAGCTCAGCGTTACGGGGAAAGCACGTTTTGATGTCCGCCTACGACCGCGAGCTGTTTGCCTTAGTTCTTGCCGTCAAGCATTGGCGACCGTATCTTCTAGGCAGAAAATTTATTGTCCGCACAGACCATCGTAGCCTTAAATTTCTATGGGATCAACATATCACTACGGACACCCAACAAAGGTGGCTAATCAAACTCATGGGCTATAGTTTTGACATCGAATACAAGCCGGGGTGACACAACGCGGCTGCCGATGCACTCTCCCGTGTAGAAGAGGTGGGAGAACTGCATAACATCACACTGCCAGACCCGGTGTGGTGGCGGACTCTACAGGATGAACATGAGGACTTGGAAGAATTACGGGAGCTGAAGAAAAAAATCGAGGCTGAGGACGCGGTAGGACCATGGGAAATTAACCAAGGGGTTGTATTTTTCAAGGGGCGTGTGTATCTGCCACCTACTTCGACTCTCATTCCCACATTATTACAGTAGTACCATGGCATGGGGCATGAGGGTTTCTTCAAGACTTGGCACCGCTTAAAGGAGGTATTCTTTTGGAAAAACATGAAGGCTACAATTAAGGAGTGGATTAAACAATGCGAGTGTGTCAAAGGAACAAACGTGACCAACAATCCCCGGCTGGACTATTGAATCCCTTACCTATTCCAACCCAGGTGTGGTCTGAAATATCTATGGATTTCGTGGAGGGGCTTCCCAAGTCTCGTGGCAAGACGGTTATTTTTGTAGTAGTGGATAGACTGTCCAAAGTCGCCCATTTCTTGCCATTATCCCATCATTTTACAGCTTCAACGGTGGCTCAATTGTTTTTTGACCAAGTTTTTCGCCACCACGGAATGCCGACGTCGATCGTTTGTGACAGGGGTGCCACTTTCACCAGTAAGTTTTGGCAAGAACTCTTTCAGCTTCAAGGGACTGACTTCAATTTTAGTTCCTCCTACCACCCCCAGATGGACGGCCAAACTGAGGTGGTCAACCGAACCCTCGAAATGTATCTCCGTTGCTTCTGTTTCACTCAGCCTCAAGACTGGATGAAGTGGCTTTCGTGGGCTGAATGGTGTTACAACACCAGTGTGCATTCCACCACTAAACTCTCTCCTTTTGAAGTGGTGTATGGTCGACCCCCACCAACCTTGCTCTCTTATGTGCCGGGCACGGCTCGGGTGCAGGCTGTGGAAGATGAGTTGCGAAACAGGGATGTGTTGTTGATTAGTCTCAAGCAGTGCATCCGCGAAGCCCAGAATCGCATGAAACAGGTTTATGATCGCCACCACAAGGACGTAGAGTTTGCCGTGGGGGATTGGGTGTATCTCCGCCTACAGCCTTACCGCCAACAGTCCGTACAGCGCCGGGCGACTCATAAGTTGTCTCCACGTTTCTTCGGACCATACGAGATTGTCACTCGCATTGGGAAGGTGGCATATCGACTGGACCTGCCGCCCTCGAGTCGGGTATACCCGGTCTTTCATGTTTCCATGCTTCGCAAAAAGCTTGGGCCAGTGGACACGGTTGGGACCGACCTTCCAGCGTGGGAACCTTCACCGGCGGATATCCCCTCTGCCATCCTACAAACTCAAAAGGTGGGTGATACTCATGAGTTTTTGATTCAATGGCAAGGCAAACCACAAGAAGAAGCTACGTGGTTAACGGCCTCAGAACTGCAAGCTGACTTTCCTACTTTTCAGCCTCCTTGAGGACAAGGATGTCGTGAGGGAGGGGGGTACTGTTATGGTCTGGTGAGACTATTACTACTTAAAAAAAGCTGGACCTTGTAATTGGGCCTAGGTAGTATTCATATAGTTTATATTTTTGTATTTTTGGTGATCTACTGGTTTACTAGGGTGATAGGCGATCGTGATAGTGTGAGAAGTGGTAAGCACTTATAACCGTTTGTTGGGTTCTGTGAGATCATGCAGAGAAGGAGTGAGAGAGAGATTCGGTTATGGGATATATATGTCCTAAGGTCTGATGTATGTTTTCACGTTTTGATCATTCTTGAATATAGAATTCTATTTGTCCATTTCCTTGTTGTCCTCTGTTATTTTTGCGCCACTTGACCAGGAACCATAGCTAGACGGGGACGCAGGCGGGGCCGAGCAGCTACAATTCCACCGGAACCTAACAGAAGCTTTTAGGTATATTGTCTTGTCACTTCTTTTTTTTTTTTTTTTTAAATAATAGAATCTATAGTTGTAAAAATTAGGGAATCCTAAGCAGAGTATTGGTTTTGTAGGGATTCTACGAAGAGAAGAAACTTATTTAAACGAGGTTTAGCATATTGAAGCTTTTATTAGACCATGTGCAATCAAAATGCTAAAGCGAATGTTACATTTGATTGAAAAGTATGAAAGGACAATATGTCATTTTATTTTTCACTCAAATGCAGAATGTTATTTTAAATATCATATCTAATTTTTATAGCTATTTTTAGCTCTTGTACCCGTAAAAAATAATTTTAATGTTCTCACATAAAATTTTAAAAGAGTTTATTATAAAATTTTTTCTTAAACTATACCTCTTATAATACTTTGCTCTCAATCTTTAAAAAAATAATAACCTCTAAACAACAAAATGTTAACAAAAAAAGTAACAAAAAAACCCCCTCTGCTAGGTCTTTTTAAGAGAAATTGACTTGTAATTTGTTATTTTGGCGTATTTTAATAGCTTTACAGCTTAAAATTTAGTTTGAATTTAAAACTAATTTATACTTGAACTTTTAATTATGATACATCCGTTATTGATTGAATGTAAGTTAAAAATTTATGATTTTTTTTTTGTTGGATAAAAAATTTATGAAGTTTTTTTTAATATTTAATTTAGTTTAAATTCAAATTAAATTTTAAACCATAAAATTATCAAAATACCCTCAAAATAGCAAATTAAATGTTAATTTCAATTAAAAACCTAACAGATGGAGCTTTTTATTAACATTTTATTGTTTAGAAGAAGCGGAAGTTATGTTTTAAAAATCAGAAGGCAAAATGTTACGAGGGATATAATTCAATGCGAAGTTTTGTAATTTATCCATTTTAAAATGATAATGCCATAATTATTAATTGAGAAAGTCAACGTATCAGCAAATAAGCAACAAATGTCAAAATTTAGCATAAGTTATATTTGGTGCTAAATTTGGCACGTTGAGTTTAATCTGAAGTACAATGTGGCATTAGAAAATAATTTTCTTATGACGATGCCAAATTTTGGCAATGGCATAGAAATTTGGCATTACATTAGAATGGTTTTAGTATCCATTAGCATATCGAAGTTTTTATTAGTATCCATACTCTTACACATTGTTTTTAAAACAATAAAAAGTTAAACATATTAAATATAAAAGTCGCTAAGAATCATATGAGAACTTTGATGATATTTTCTATTAGTGCTTGATGAGAGATGATCGCCATGCACCATGCACAATAGAACTTCCAACACGGAATGATCACCAAACGGGAGTTTGAAGAGTGGAAATTCAAAAAATTGATAGTGGGTGGGAAAATTATATAACAAATAATCCTATTTTTAATGTCGTTTGCTGCTCTGTTTCCTCTGTTTTCAAGTCTCTGTCTCAATAACTTAGCGGTAATTGCACAAGTGACTTTACCTTACGTTGTAAAGTTCAAATCTTCACCCTCAATTCAATATGTATACATATTTCTACATATTTTATATATGTTATGATATGTCTATACATTTGTTTTTTTTTCCTGGTTGACATAGTACTATACCAGTTGAAAACAGTACAACATATAGCAAGCGACTAACATAATAAACAACAAATTATGCTATTAACTGTACATTGTTGGCATCAGGAAGATCGTCACCAAATAATCACCAATTCCGATTCAGAGCACCTGTGACTTCTACTTTCTCAAGCACTTTGCCTATATGTAGTAACAAATTTAATTAAAATCCCTAAGAAGTTTGTTTTGAAATTCATAAACCATTTATTTCGGTAAGAATTAATTTTCAACTAAAAAAAGAAAATTGGAATATATCATAAATTTAACTTACTCAAGAGTCCTTCAAAATGCCAGGAGTCCCATTCTACTTCATTATGCCCTGAAGGAAATTGTTAATATACCACTTCATTAGTAATATTGAAGACTAATTCGCAGATTTGTTTCTTTTCCATGAATAAAGGTCTAAAAAAGCCAAATATACATATTTACCCAGACAGCAACATTAAAATTAGAAGGCAGCAGTGCATTTTTCCGCAAGAAACTAATACTAAAATCACCGACCTAGATTGTAGGCGAAATGGTTCAGAAATATAGAGGTCAATGGAGTGAAAGAATATTCTTTCTCATCCAAGATGTTCATAATCATGTCATAAAAGCTATCTAAAAAAAGGAGAACATGACTTTTTGCATTAGAACATAATTCTGGTGTTTTACCCTATTAGTAATGCGTCTTACTGAATGTTAGATTAAATTATTCAAATTGCAGACATAATCCAATAATTTAATTAAGCTTACACTTTGACAAAGTTTAAACTAACATTTACTCAGTACTTACTTCTCATTATTTCTTGGATCATCATAAGTGATTCCAAGCCAAAAGCTGTATATTCTCCATTAACTTTGTGAGCAAATCGAACTTTTGGGACAGCGTGAAGGCTTTGAAAATCTTGGAACATCAAGAACTTTGTGGGCATTTCAATAAATCCAAGAACTTTAAGGTTTCTTAAATGCTGAAGTCCACAGGGCACCTCCACAAGTTGTGGGCAAGAACCGATGAGAAACCTTTCAAGATCACACAATGCTTCTTCCTCTATTACTATAGAATCCAACATACTCAAATCGCTGAGGTAGAACACCTTAAGTTTTTGAAACGTTCCTCCCTCAAAGTGAAGTTGCTTACCACAATATGCATCATAATAAATCCCAAGTTCCAAAAGGTTGTGCAGATTTTGGAGCCCTTTCAGTGGATCATCTTCCAACTTTGACCAACCAAATCGTATTCTGACTAGATTTTGAAGTTTTGCGATCCATTCTGGAAACTTCCTTAGATGGCCGTCTAAGTTGAGATGGCGAAGAAACTGAGGGGGCGAGGACATCGATTCCATATTGATGGTCTCATCTTCACTTATTGAAGCTATGCTAAGGGACTCAAGGTGTTCCATTTTCCCAATACAATCACATAGGGTCCTACTGTCTTCACTTCTCAACTTTTTGATGCCTAACTTCCTCAACTCTGTCAACTTGCAAAGCTCTTTGAATAAGTCAAATCCCTCAATGTTGGCCTCAACAAAGTATAACTTCTGCAAGGCTTTTAACCACCCAATTCCCTTCTCTACTTTTACTCCTCTTTGTACCCTGACAATAGAGTCCATCTTGTATTCAATGTGGTACGCTAAAAGATGTCGCAACTTATGAAGCTTATTTACTTCAACTGGCAGCTCAGATACCTGTGATTGCTTTAGATCTAAAGTCTCTAAATTTTCCAACTTTCCAATTGATTTTGGGAGCAACTGTACTCTTGTCCGTCGCACACTTAAATATCTCAAGTGAAATAAATTTCCAATATCTTTGGGTAGATAATCTAGACATGGAGCACCTTCAAAATCAAGTACTTTTAGAAGCTTGAAATTGTTGATGACTGTACTTACAATAGGACGGGGGATATTGTCTTCATTAAAGGTAAAAATAGAACGCACATGAGAAAGTTTGAGATTCCTCGAAAGAACATTAAAAGAGCTGTGGATGATCGATAAGCGCTGAGATGTCCTTTTCAAAGTTAAATAACTTTGTGACAAAACTTGACAAAAACCCAAATCTTCCATCTTTTTGAGGATGATCTCACGTAAAAGATCATGTATGCGACAACTTTTGGCTTTTCCGTCCAGTTTGGTCCTTGGCACTTGAACCAGATTTCTATTTATTAGCTCAACCAAGTACTCTTCTGCAACTATTTCTAATGATTTATCCTTCTTGGGTCTCACAAAGCCTTCAGCAACCCATTGTCGAGTTAATCTTCCAGGTTTGATAGAGTATTCTTCTGGGAAAATACCAAAATATAAGAAGCAAGATTTAAGGTAGTAAGGCAAATCATTGTAGCTGAAAGATAGAATTCTTGTAATACTCGTCAAATGTTCATTGCTGTCTAACTCTGAACTGAGACTATCATGTAACTTTTTCCATTGTTCAACACTCTTGTTTTTGGTGGACAAAAGGCCAGCTATGACCACAATTGCAAGTGGTAATCCTTCACATCTCTCAACAATCTTCCAAGACAACTCTTTCAAGTAGGTTGGACAATCCTTCTCACATTCAGAATGAAAAGCTCTGTTGCAAAAGAGCTCCCAAGCTTTCTCTGGGGGCAAGGGTTTTAGATGACGGATATAAACAAATGATGTAGTTCTACAAAAATTTGCAACTTCCACATCTCTTGTTGTGATAACTATCCTTCCACATCTATTATTGTCAGGTAAAGCATTTTTTATATCAGCCCAAAAATTAATGTTCCAAACATCATCGAATACGACCACATAGCTCTTTCCTTGCAAGTAATTGCTTAACTCCGTTGTCACAGCGCGCTCATTCATTGCATCAATTCCCTCAGGCGCAAACTCTCCTCTTGCCTGGCAGATTTTGCTTATTAAGCTCCGAAGTAGCTCTACCTTATTGTATGATTGAGACACTTCAATCCAAGCATGACAGTCGAAGCATCCATTCACATGTTCATAAACTTGATGGACCAAGGTAGTCTTTCCAACTCCCCCCATCCCTACCACCGCAATCACACTGCGCTGGCAAGATTCCCCTTCTAAACTTTCTATCAACTCAGCTCTAGCAGATTCAATGCCCACTACTTCAGTTTCCTTGAGGAAACAGGAATCCTTTCGAGGATCACTCCAGCTTTTACCTGGAGGAGTATCTATAGCTCCTTGTGGTAGGGAATTAAAGCCATACACTGCACTTTTTTGATTTATATCACGGACCCGTCTTTTGATATCTTGTATTTTTAAAGCTATGTCATGACGCGATTTTAATTTTACGAGTAAGAAAGCATTTCTACGGAGGAAGCCAATAAATCTATGCTTGTGGGGACGTTGCTGTTGTGCCATGAGATGCGTATATTCATCAATAACATCTTCCAGTTCAAATGCCGCTTTCCTAAGTTTTTGCACCCAAATTTTAACTCCATGGCTATTGTTTGTCCTTTGATCAGATTCTGCTCTGGTATCCGCATCGTTGAGGAAAGCCAGAATGTAGTCTAGATCACATTTTATTTCCTCAACTTCTTGGTGGACACCTCTCAACAAGTATGCTTCTTCAGTCAGCAATGGGATCAACTTGTCTATAACTAAGCCCACTGCAGCCTCTGCCATCTGATTTAAACTTATTTGAAGGCTTATATCCCTGATCTTCTAAATCTTTGATCATCTGCCATCAATTAAATACACATATTAATGAGCCTTCCTTAGAATGCTATTTATACCACTAGTTTAGCACACAAGTAATTTCATCACTAGCATGCTTCACAAATTGGTAGAGAACTCACACAAACAAAGGATTAGCTAGTGTTTAATAACTTTAATCAAACGGACTTGGGTGTTGCTTTTAAAATTAAACACAATGTATTAAAACTTTTTGCTTGTTCTTCTCTAAACCTTTAAATTAAACAAAACGGGCATTCATGCTGGAAAAAAAAAGTAAGGAAAAGAAATATAGGGCCTATTTGGCCATGTTCTCTGTTTTCTGTTTTTGGAATTGTGTTTTCAAATAGTTCTTAAAGAACAAATGGTGTTTGACAAGTGTTTTCCAAGAATAGTTTTTCAAAAAAAAAAAAAAAAAAAAAAAAACAAGAAGTTTAGATAGAGTTTTTCAGGAAATATTTTACTTTCTTGCCTTTATCTCTTTCTACTTCTATCATAATTTTCTCTCCTCACCATCTCTCACCATTCTCTTTCATTGTTCTCTCTCCTCACCTTCTCTCTCATCATTCTCTGTTTTCACTTTCTCTCTCCTCACTTTCTCAGCCTCAATTCAATTAAAGCACAATAATTTCACTACAATTTTACTTACACAATAAAATAGAAAAAAAGAGAGCAACATAAAGGAGTTTCAGCACATCCAAACAACGCTACTTAATAGAAAAAGGAATACAATCTCAATGAGCGAACCAAACTTAAAAAAAGAAGCAAAAGTATCAAGGAAAAAAAAAAAAAAAGAAACCCACCCTAACAATTACTCGACCACTCTTTGAAATTATAAAAACAGTTGCTCAACTACAAGTATTAATTAAATTTAAAGTTAGTCTGTTTCAACTAACTTTGTTTACAGCGCAATATATCTAACTAATTTCTAGCAATGTGCTTAGGCCACATAGCATGAGCAATGTCATCACACACAGCTACCATAGCCGAGCAACTCCATGATTTGAGTTGCTTGTCCTAGCTTGGTCTTGTCTGCTAGTTTCCATCCCCTTCTGTTCTCATTCCCTAAAAATAGCATTATGTTGATTTCGTTCACAAATAAAATTATGAAGGGCACACCAAGCTATAACAATTAAGGGTTGTTGATGTAGCCACAATGGCATTTCCATTGCTGAGTTTTACGAAGTATTTTATTAAGTATACAAGACAAACAGATGAACACAATCCACATCTGACACCCACAACTAAGTTGAATCTTCTTTATACTCCATGTTTAGTCTTTTTGTGCATTAAGTTCTTTAAACTCATGTTTGGTCTTTCTGTGCAAAAGTCTGTTTGTGCATTAATCAAAATACAAAAATATAGTCCAAATTAGATATTACAACTCGGTGTTAGTCAAAATACTATCTCCAATACTGTTTCTAAGTTCCTACTAGATGTAGTCCAAATCATAATTGTCTCAATAAACACATGCTTACAGCCTATCCAACCAAGCCCTTTATCCGGAGGACTAGACACTGGTTAGACAACGCGGGTCAAAAGGATGGCACAGATAGACAATGCATTAATCACACATTAGAAAAGGGAACAAAAAGAAGCGAAAACTTTGCCACGCAAATCACACAAAAAATTATACACATATACACTAATTTATGGAAAACAACCGCCCACTTCATATATTTCCACTTCTATCAGAATCTGAAGTAGTACACAACGTTATACGCAACCCCACTTTCAAAAGTAGAAATAAATGGCTAAGAAATCTTGAGAGAAAATAAACTAATATTCTAAAAGTTGACTGCGGTTAACCTTTTTTTTTTTTTCCCCTCTGAGAAGGATATATGACTTATTTACGAATTTGACAGAAGTGAAACCATGAAAAGCCATTATTTCAGAGTAGATGCAATTTTCTTTATAGTAAAAAAGCAAAAAGTTATCGGAACTTAACAAATTGTCCCGCAGAGCAATCAAGTCTTCCAAGCAGAACAATCTGTCAAAACTAATACCGTTTTCGTCATGTATATAATAAAATTCCCATCTCAAATTCACAGAAACAAACAAGTAATGCACAACTAACAAACAAGCACTCCTAAGCTCTTTAGCTTCACTAATCAGCTCTTAAGACCATATCCATTTATAAAGTGCAAGAAAATGGCGGACTTAAAAACGAGCTACCAACCAAAGTCGATTTTTTTCTATAATAAAAACATATCACAATATTTCAAAAACCTAATTTCTAAAACCAATTCTTACCCAAATCCTAGTTCCTAAACAATCAGTTTTTCCTCTATGCTTGAACAGATTGAATCATAACAAAAGAAAAAGGCAGAGTTCAAAGGAAGAAAAGATAGGTACGAAATCACAATTGTCGCGTTTGAAATCGAGAATTCTGATGGAAACGATGCACTTACAAGTTTTAGAACAACCAAAAGGCACAATTACACATATATGTTTGTAACACTAATTCTTACCTGATTGAGCTGAGCAATACAAGATTCCACAGTACTATCGAAAGTGAATGCGAGAAGAAAGTATGGAAGACGGAGAATAACTGGTCAATGCTGAGAAAGGAGAACGAAAGAAACAAATAATGAAGCACTAATGTGGCATGGTAGTTGAAAATTTGAAATTAATATAAATGCGTTGGAGTACTGGAATCAGTGACGGAAGCAGTGACGGAAGCCGGAAAATTTAATCAGAGAGGGCTAATAACTACAATAAATATTTGGAATACCGGTAGTTGTATAATTCTACATAAATAAGTTGTGTATATTTATATATAAATAGTGTATATTTACATATAAAATCGTATATGTTAAGTTATAAAAAACGATAATGTATATTAATTCTCAAAATATGTATTTTTTATAGTAATTAGTGAACACATAGTATGAAAATATATATATTGACTAATTTATTATATTTCATGTTAAATATACATGAATTACATGTAAATATACACGATTTACATATAAATATACATAATTTATGTGAAAATATACAACTATCGTTCCGGTTAAACACTTTTTAAGTGCCTGACCGGAAACCTTACCTAAATATTTAGTCAAAATAAATAATTATTATAAATATATTAGAGAATGAGGGATTTGCTGTTCATATAGACTTGATTTACTGTAGTCTGTACAGTGCTAGGACGGTTTTGCCCGTATTCTTTGCTTTCCCCTGTTTATGGTGATGGACTTTTAGGTCCTTTTATTGTTTGGCCTGTCTCTGTGCCCTTTTGCCCTTGGATTTCTCTCCATTCTGCTACTTCTTCTCCGTTGTCTCATTCGTTTTGTTCTTGCTCTTTCCTCTTTCCCTTTCTTTCTTTTCCGTTTTGCCTTTGATTCGTTCCTTCACTTTTGTTTTCCTACAGATCTCGCATTCGTTGCTTTGTGCCTTCGTCTTTGCGGATTGTTCGTTGTGATCTTGGTTGAAATCTTGCCAGTTTATCCCTTTTCTCTTTTGGATTTCTTTAGTGGTTGGATTTGGGATTTTTTTTCCCGCTTTATGTTGTTCTCATCGCCGCGGACTCACTGATTCTTTTTTCTTGTTTTTGTGCTGGATTCAACGGCCATTTTGGTTTTGGTTTTTATGTGTTCATTTCATAGTTTTTCTTTTCCTTCCTTGCCCGTTGTTTTGCTTCCTTCACGTCTCTCTTTTTTTTTTGTTTTTTTTTTGTCTTCCTTCGCTTTTTTGTATAAATTTTTGGCGATTCATATGCATTGTAATTTTCTGTTGAGTAATAGCTTTGATTGTGTAATGATACTTTTTAGAAAATTTTTGTTCTCTGATTTTATATTTTTTTTTTTGTGCAGGATTTGCTGATTTCCTTCTTTCATTACACGCCGCATGTGTTGTCACGCCCCCCAAACGGGGTGGGTGACGTGGAACTTAATTTGGGATTAATAAAGTAGATTCTTAATCGGGTCTCACACTTAACTGCATAAAAATATAAATAAATGACATAATCCAGGAGCCTCTGACACACAGGACTCCACCCCACAGGACATATAGTATCGTACATACATGCACATGTAAATAATCAATTACAATAGACATCATCCACAGTCTAGTAAATTCAAATGTCATTTATTACAAATTCTTACATATTCCTTACACTTTATGTCAGAGGATGAACACAATCCTCACTTGATCGTTCCGTAGCACCACTCAGCTACTCCCGCTACTGTGCCCCGCTCCTAGAGTCTCCTGGGAGGGGTTTTAAACATTTGAAACATAAAACGTGAGCGAAAGGCCCAGTAGGATATAAT